CGCGTGGGCTGGGACTCGCCAGTGGTGCCGTAGCTGTTGTACGGGGTGCAGGTGTACACTCCCAGTGCATCGTCATTCCCCGTCGCAACAACAATGGAGCCGTCCAGTCTCACAGACCAGCCAGGGAGCTGGGAGAGGAGGTGCAGGGTCAGGAGGAGGGGATCAGGGGGTTGGGAAAACAGTGGAGGGCACAAGCAGTGGTACCTTGTCCAGCTCCAGTGGGCGCCCATCCCGTGTCCAGCTGACGGAAAGCAGAGGAGGATTGGCCCTGGTGGGGCAGCGGATCACACCCTGCATCCCCTTGGGCAGGTGGGTTTCTGGGAGCATGGTGGTCACCTGTGCTGGATCTGCAAGGACAAGCAGGGTGCCAGCGCCTGCATGAGGGGCAGAAGTGGGCTGGGGAGACCCAGACCCAGACCCAGCCCACTGTGGCAGTTCAAGGGGCACACTGGAGCTGGTGACAGCATAGCCCAGGCTTGTGAGGGGCTATGGGACTCTTACACAGCACTGTGACAAAGGCTGAGGCAGAAGGTGGCTTCCACAGCCCGTTGCTGGGGATACAGGTGTATTTGCCAGTGTCATCTGGGGTTGTTCGCTGGAGCAAGAGACTCCCATCCACCAGGACACGGACCCGAGCCCGGAGGTGGCTGCGAGGGGAGGGCAGTGGTGAATGCAAAGGCTGGGGCTGTACCCACTGCCTTGGGATGAATGAAACCATTGCCACACACCCAACCAGCCTGCTGGCCCCAGCAGCACTGGTGGGAGCCCACAGCCACCTTGGTGCCATCCCCATCCCTGCTGTACCTGAGGTGGAAGACGTTGCTGCTGCCCTGGAGCCAGGTGTAGGTGAGGTTTCCCGGGTATGCCTCAGCCTGGCATGCCAGAAAGGCATCTTGGGAGATGTTGACTGTGACATTCTGGGGTGGCACCACAATGACAGGTGGCCCTGCAGTGAGGGACAGAGAGGACAGTGAGAGCTGGGGACAAGGTAGACCCAGCTGCTCCCAAAGCCCATTACACCTATGCCTGCCTCAAAACCAACCCCATGACATGGCTTCTTCCATGCCCTATGGCAGCACCCAGCAGGGTGGCCCACTTTGCCAGAGCTGGGAGAGCTCTTACCCTGCACGAGCACACGGGTGGTGTGGGCGATAGTGCCCTCCTTGCTGGAAGCATGGCAAGTGTAGGTGCCCGCACTGGCGCGCTCCACGACGGCAATGCTCAGTGTCCCATTCCCCACCTGCAACAGCACCTCACACATGGCACAGCCACCAAAGAGACAGGTCACTCTCAGGAATGTGTCCCTCTCAGCTGGGCCAGTGGTAGAGGGTGGGTGCCACCACAGTGGGGATGGATGCCTGCTCTGCAGTGAAGCAGTTGCATTGTTCTGCATGACTGTCTGCCCCACAAGACCCTGGCCGAGTTGGGGGACACATCGCAGGGGGATAACTGGGGTTTGCCATCCTTACCTGCACTGTGTCCCCACTCTGGACAGCCAGGTCACTCCTCTTCCAGATGACAACAGGCTGGGGGTTGCCAACAGCCGTGCAGGTAAGGCTCAGTGTCTCCCGATCTCTCACCTCTATGAATGCAGGGGGGGTCTCCAGGAAGGTGGGGGGTGCTGTAAAGACAAATCCAGACCTTCTGCCCCAGGTCTCTTGGAAGATCAGTGGATCCAGTCCCAGCCCTGAGAGACCTTGGCTGGTGCCAGAGCAGCAACTGAGGGTGGGATCAACCGGTACCGTTGACGGTGAGATGGATCCAGGTGCCGTTCTGGAAGTCAGCATCGGTGCTGTGCCGGTCGAGGAAGAGCACACGGCACTCGTACCAGCCCTGGTCCTCGGCGCGCAGGAGGTCAATCCGCAGCGAAGCGCCTTCCTCAATCCGCACGCGACCTGCGAGCCCAGAAGTGGCCGTCACAGCCACCGCTGCCGGCTCCGGGACAGTCGTGTCCCCAGGCCACCCGTTTCCCTGGGATGCCCACCCACGCAGTGCTTGCCCCCACCACGGGCTCAGAGGCTTCCCCAGGGCACGGGGCCGACTGCCCCACTTGGCAGCAGGGTCTGGCTGTGCTCAGGCTCCTTCTGCCTTGGCCGACACCACAGGGGGCTGGGAACGGCCGTGGGACAAAAGCCGGGGCAGCTGCGCCACGGCAGAGGTCGGTCACACCAACATTTACTACTGCACATCCTGCTGCTGTTGGGGAAACGAGGGAGGACATAGCAGTTGGCTCTGCTACCCACCCCCACATTAAGTGGCCTCGGCAGGGACCCTGAAGCCTCCCGTGCCCTGAGCATTGCTTCCAGCTGCTGGCCAGAAGAGCTGGTCCCCTTGCCCCCTTCCCCTTTGCCTTTCAGTGACTCTTCTTCCCCAGCCCCCTCTGCCCTTCCCTCCTGGGGTCCCCCTCCCCCCGCTGTCTCACCCTTAGGAGCCATGCAGAGCCCCAGGCACGCTGAGCACCCCACACCATCCCCTATCTTCACAGCACAGGAAGGTCAGGCCAAACCCCTTGCCTGGCTCACAGGGACAGACCCCTGGAGGAGCACAGTGGGGGCTTCTCCTGGACCACAGGGCTCCACCCCAAGCTGGCAGCAGCCCTACGCCCCATGGCCTCTTTGATGAGGAGGAGGATAAGGGCGCAAAGCGACAACGAGCGCAGGCCCTTAATCCCCTGGGCTATTATCAGAGCCATAATCGGCTCAGGCGTGCAGCAGGCAATTGGCTCAGCCCCGACTGGGGTGCATAGGCAGCACTCACCACCCCGACACCCCCAGGACTATGTGCTCCTAACCCCACTGCAGGTACCCACAGCCCAGAGAACCCCAGCTCTAGGCTGGGGATATGGGTCTAGCCCCACATGTGCCATCACCCAGGGTGGCCACATTCCCAACACACCATGGCAGGGTCACAGCCACAGTGGTGGCAGCACCACACACAGCTCTTGGCACCAGAGCAGCCCAAGATGTTCCTGTTGACATCCCAGAGCTCCCAGGAATGCTTCCAGCAAAGAAAGTTTTGCTGAACCCCCCTGTCAGCTCAGTGTCACAGGTGGTTCCCATGTGCTGCTTGAGCCACCACAACCCAGGCCAGGCACCACGCAGGTGCTACCCTGCAGCAGGGAGCTGCATCATGCCAGACAAGCCTGGCAAGGAGGAGGAGTAGCAGCAGTGGGACCTGGGCAGGCTGGTTGGGGCACAGATACCGGGCAGTTGCAGGACAGGATTGCACACCTAGTGCTGGTGCAGCACACAGACACATGCCAACCCTTCCCAACAGCACCCAGACCTTCTTCCAGCCACTACACATCCCACTCTCCTGCTGCTTCAACCCAGAGCCATGGCATCTCCTGCAGCAGGAGATCTGCATAGATGTATCTGGGTGCCTCAGAGCACCCATGTATCATCCCTCAGAGCATGAGGCAACACCCCAGGCAAACCTCAAACACTAGGTGGGTGGCAGGAGTGGAGAGAGAGATGGGAGCAAGGGCAAAGCACCCACGGGACACGGGTGTCCTCCTACACCAAGCTCTGGGAAGCAGGGCAGCTTTGGGAAACACCATTCCTGTCCACAGCTGCCAGCTCACAGCCCCGGGAACTGGGACGGAGCAGCAGGCTTCTGAACAAAGGTCCCTTTGGAAGAGATCAACATGCTCTGAGGACGACCCCCACCCTCCCCCTAATCCCCCGTGCTGGCCCCAGCCCCCTCCTCTTCCACCAGCCAGCTGATAACAAAACCGCCGCTGCCCTCCAGACTAGCATCCCCCAGCGCCTGGCAACCACCATTCAGAGGGACACAAAGGAGGCTGCAACCCCAGCCACCAAGATGGGGTGCCCAAGCAGGCAGCTAGGTCAGGGACCACCAGCTCTGCTCCAAGCCAGCCGATGGCAGGGGACAGTGGCCCATGACACTGTGGGTGACAGTGGCACCTGGGTGAGAGCCAGCCTTGTTCCCAAGTGACCCAAGGGGCCCTTACAGAGGCAGCAGCTGCCCAGCTTATCATCAGGAGACCCCAAGTCGCCCCACAAGAGATATGGGTGACAACAGGTGCTTGCTGGCCCCTCTGGGTGACAGCAGAGCCTGGAAAGAGCTGGAAGAAGGGGCTGCTCTCCCCTTTCCTCTGAGCTTATGGCCTCTGCCCTTCCTTCCATCCCTTCCCAGCCCCCAGAGGATTGAAAAAAAACTGCCCTGCTGCCATGGTGACAGCCACCAGCCCCCCTGCCCACCCACCTTGCCCTCATTACAGCCACCAGACCCCCTCCCCCAGAGCTGATTCTACAGCTGCCCCCCAGTACTACAGGGACTGGGAGGGGGGAGGCTGTGGGCAGTGCAGGCAAAAGCAGGCTGGATGCTGCCAAGCCCTTCCTGGGTAACCCGAGCTCCTGCAGCTGAGGGGCCCTGTGATGCCGGCTCAGGTAACAGGAGCCCAGCCCAGGCCTCCGGGGAGAGCAGGTGCCTTGTCACCGAAAGGGTTTGCTATCACCACTGGTCCCACCGACTCAGGGTGGTAAAATGCAGAACAAAGGTATAGGCTGGCAGTGGGGGGAGGCCAAGGTGTGCCCCAAAATGGGTCTCCTCCCACGCAGCCCAGGAAGGGGCAGCAGCTCTGCCCATGGGCAGGCAGGAGCGAGGCTGGCTCTGGCCTCGGTCGCACCTCAGCCCACTGTGAGTTTGAGGCAAGCACTGGTTTCAGTGGAAGGACAAGTTCCTGACCCAGGCACGATCCAGCACTCCCACACATCACATGGGAAGACTGGAAGCAGAATTTTGGCACGTTGCTGCCACAGGCTCAGCCCAAAACACTGTCCAGCTCTCAGCTCCTCTCCTCCACCCCAGCTTCCCCATCCTCCAGGAACAGTCCCGTTGTCTGCACGTTCATGCGTGCAGGGATCCCTCTCGCAGGAATCCTTGTAGGTCTGCCACTGCTTCACTTTAAATATCCCTTAAAGAGGAGAATATCCCCCTCCCACGCCGCAGCCCTTCCCCAGCCCAGCTTTGCTCCAAATCCCAGCCAGCCCAACACTGCCAATTAGTGGCTTCACCAAAATCCCCTCCCCAGGCTCAACCTTCAAGCAACACGCAGGGGCCAGGACAGCAGCACCCGGGTGCCCAGAGCCCCTGGTACAGGAGAGCCAGGGCAGTGGTGCTGCGGTCAGTGCTATGATGCCACAGGCAGGCCGGTGCTCAGCTATCCCCTTCCCAGGCTGGTGATGCTGGGGGGGAGGCCCCTGCAGCCAGAAGCCACAGTGATGGGAGTGACTGCTGGCATACCAGGAGCCACCTGCCTGGGGAGCTTCTGCCCTCCACCCCAGTGGGGATCCCTCCTGATGCCGAGCTGGGTTGGGGGCTGCATCTCCCCTGCGAGCTAGGTATCAATACCCTCTGTGCCTCCTACTCTGGCCATCCCTGGAGCTGCTGCACAAGGAGGGCACTCTCTCCTGCTGCCGGCCCCACAATGTCCCCTCCTGCCCTGGGGTGGAAGGAAGAGACCTGTGCTTCCCCACTGCCCCAGGAGCGTGATTAATGTGGTCTGACAGCAGCAGCCCTCGGCTGGGGGCCAGCCAGGGGTGTGGGACACCAGAGCCAGCCTGCTGTCCTCATGTACTGCCCCGGAGCCTGGGGCCAGGAGGGCCCCTCCAGGACCCTATAACGGCCCACCACCGCGGCACCCCGGCCACAGGTCTTACCGACGTACTCCGGGTCCACTCGTGGCGAGTAGAGCCCGAACTTGATGAAGATGGGGAGGACGAAGCCGAAGCGGACCCACTCGATCACGTAGAGGGGGGTACGAGCTTCGTGAGCGTCCAGGAGGTCGCAGCCCAGCACCGTGCTCTCCCCGACGCGCCCCACCACGGCCCGGGACTCGGTCTGGCCGCTGCCTGCCGGACCAAAACGGGAGGGGTGAGCCC